CCAAGAAACGCAAACAAGACCGGGCTTGAGCCAAAGACGCTTAGGCTCACATTTCATGCATGGCACAGTGGGTGTGCGATACTGAACATACAATTAAAGGCGTTGAGAGAGGTATCTTGTCACCTATCTAGTTCACTGTTCATTTTTCAACAGCCAGAATCAAAGACAATTTGATTAAAACACCTGCTGTGTAGGTATTCCTGAGGCGAAACTGGCAACTACGGTAATGAATAGAGTGCCCATAAGTATATAGATATTGAAGCCGCAATCAATTTCGCAGTACCTAAAAGTAGTTTCATTACTGTTTCAAATAATGACGTTACCAATTTTTGCAGAAGATTTCGCGGTTGTTCGGCTTGGGAGGGGGAATGAACATTCTGCACTTTCGTCAGTTCCTTCAGCTAACCCATGTTAATTGCTATGCCTCAACTTGATAAGACCTGTAAACCTTGTGAGCTGCTGAGGGGTACAGGTGGTCCTTTTTAGTTACACTCCGGCGCAGTTCAGCTGGGGGGGGGGCATTTTGCACTTTCACTGCTTCACTACTTCTGTTTACAAGCCTCACTCCTCACTCTGGTGAAACTTGTGAACTCTTGTGAAGCTGGAGCAAGCTCGTCTAGCCACCATGGTAAAACGTGTCAACTCAAGAAAAGGCTATCTAGATGGAGTCGACACATCAATGAGAAGCAAAATGCCCCCTCCTCCCGTCGCCATACTGCGCCTTATGTACATGATTTTACAGGTTCACACAAGGTGGCCGGTATAAGCTAAGCTGAGTACCGTTCAGTGCCCCCTCCAAGCCGAATTGCGTCAATTTCGCGTTGCCTGTCATAAGATAGTTCAAAGATAGAAATAAACTGACCCTCCGTGAAGGGTCGTATCGTGCTGATGATCTTCGTAACCGTGGGTGAAGTTTGTCTCCAGACACTGGCAATCCGTCCACTCAGTTTTCTGGAATTAGATGGATATTTTATTGAAATTTCTCACAGAAGCTTTTGCCACGGTTCTTCATCGATTAAATGGTTCTCTTTTCTTTGACACATTTTTAAGTGGAGCCGGACGTGGGGCGGTCCCTAGGACCACGCTGGCGAGCGTTCCGGTGTCAGT